TCTGTGGTCATGCAGAATGTACATCTCTGCACGCCTTGTGAGCGGCATGACCAAACAAGACACGGCTGCACGGTTGATACTGTTTAGCTTGTTTAACAGATTACAGCACAATGACGCATTATGAATGCCTGGCCGATCAACCAAAAAACATTTTTATTTAGTCTCGTCAACGAAAACTCACACACATGGGTTGTCAAGTTTTCATCAACAAAGATCCACATTTAGCTCATCAGTTTTTGTTTTCATAATAAAAAAATAGAGCGTCAAAAAAATAATTTCATTATCATCATCGTTGATGAAAGCAACACTGATCTCTATGCTTTTTTTTTGAATTGTTGACAGTTTATATTAATACTGCATGCAAACTGCCATAATAGCGGTGCTAACTATTATGAGCAAAAATAAATCTAAAATCGTAAGAAGATTTTAAAATGTAAACTCTATGTTTATTTTGTTATTTTAAAATATAAAAAAAACTCAGTCAACAGTGATTATGGAGGTGTTAACAGTGTCCTGCATGAATGCCTTCAATGAACAGCTCTCACTGCAACATTCACACTGAGGCTGAATCCCAAACCGGCCCCTAAACACTAACCCTGTGTTTGAGGGTTCCCACATAGAGTCCGCCACATTCAGTGCCATCCCAAACCCCATAGTGGGTAGGGCGAGTGACCGTTCAGGCCTTAAAGTCGTAGGGAAGTGGCTGTTCCAACTGTTGCATTTCCGAATTCTCCCGAATGATGACCAACTTTACATAAGTGAATAAAGTGAATGTGATTGGTCGTTTATCAAGGGGGCGGGAGGTTCAAAAGCAAGTTTAGTTGTGGCCAGTGTCTCGGCAGGATCTTGCTGACAAGTTAGAAACCTAGTGCTCCTAGGTTCCCAATGGGAAATTACATTGGGACCAAGTAGCAGATAGCAACAACACTGTCAAGGAACGCTATGGACAGCGGAAACATGCAAGAGGAGGAAAGTTTTGAGTCTGAGGTTTGATTGGCTTGATTGTGGAGGAAACACCTTCCTTCAAATGTAAGTCCTGCTGCTTTGTTGCATCTTCGACCCACTGACAGAAAATCACAAGTCAGGAAAAATAATAGTTTTATTAAACTGGTTAGATTTACTTTGAAGAAAATGCCAAATGCTTGATGTTATGTTAACCACAGAGCTACAGCGACACACTGAGTTGCTATTGAAATATTTACAGTAGTTTATACCACCCCCCTCTGTACAACCCAGGCGCTTTCCACAGCTGTGAGAGTGACTTTATTGTGAGTGACATATGATAGTGAAGGGATAGTGCTTAGGGGGCGGCTTGGGATTCAGCCTAAGAAGAATGAGCGACACACACAGCTATGGGTTCGCGTTCAACTGACAACACTTTTCATCGGATAACGTCAGGTTTTACGGCACTTATTACAGCAAACAGCCTGACAGAGCAGAATGTTTACTGCTAGTACTAGTCTGCTCCATTCAGACTTATCCTCTGGTATTTCTGATGCCAGTTTAGCAAAGCGCTTGGCAGAGTTGACAAACTAGTAAAGGAAGACTGGGCCAGAAAAAGAACTCACATTTTTGTGCAAACTTTGCCCACTGAAACTTAACAACCAAGTCCGTACGTCGGCCACGTCCACATCAAATTTAAAAGACCACATGGCGTCTAGAAGCATTGAAGCTATCTTCGAAATATCTGCTACTGAATGAGGAATGCAATAAATCATTTTGTATCCAGATAATTTCAGCAGAACCTGATGTTGCTGTATATGAAGGACCAACTCTGCCATATTTAAAAATAAATACAGAAATAAATAAATGCTCAATAAATGTATAAGCATACAATTAATTACCAACAAAAAAGTGAGACATAAATGTATATAACTCTTAATTAGCTTCTTTATTTATTTGCCTTTGTAATATTTACCTTATTTATTTTTAAGTATTTATTTATGTGCATGTTATAATATTTTTGTCTGTTTAATTCTTCCTTTGTATTTTTTTACCTTAGTTATTTCTTCGCCGCTGTTTATTTCTCTCTGCCCTTTTTACATTTGTCTCTGCCCTTTTTACATTTGTCTCTGCCCTTTTTACATTTCTCTATGCATTTCTGTCTCATTATGCAAATGAGGAGGGGGTGTGTCCTAGAGAGTCAACTTCTGCTCATTGGTTGGCTTGGCGGCCCATCTTCTTAACTCACAGAGCTCAGAATACTAAGTTAAATGTTCTCTTTTCTGTTGCTGTTGTTCAATAAAAGTACGTTTTAAGATTTAATGCGTAATTTAAAAGAAAATGTGACGAACTTGAGAGGACCGCGGCAACCAGCGGAGCTCCGAAGCTGACGGCAGCCAGGTCCGACCACAGCCCATCTGCAGCGGCCCTCTCTCGGCATAGCCGTGTGTGAAGCGTGTTGGTTAGCATTTTACTACATCGGTCGAATCCAGAGGAGGAGAGTCTGATGTCGAGTCTGAAGTCATTAGAACTTGAGTAGGGACTTTGCCAAACTTTGCCAAATACAACAAAAAATCGCCATCATAGCCTGGCTATAGACCTGGCTGCCGTCAGCTTCGGAGCTCCGCTGGTTGCCACGGTCCTCTCAAGTTCGTCACATTTTCTTTTAAATTACGCATTAAATCTGTGAATGGGCCATATGGTGATGCTTAAAAGTATAAGGTTCTCGCCTCAAATGATCTTAAAACATACTTTAATTGAACAACAGCAACAGAAAAGAGAACATTTAACTTAGTACTCTGAGCTCTGTGAGTTAAGAAGATGGGCCGCCAAGCCAACCAATGAACAGAAGTTGACTCTCTAGGACACACCCCCTCTTCATTTGCATAATGAGGTAGAAATGCATAGAGAAATGTAAAAAGGGCAGAGAGAAATGTAAAAAGGTCAGAGAGAAATAAACAGCGGCGAAGAAATAACTAAGGTAAAAAAATACAAAGGAAGAATAAAACAGACAAAAATATTATAACATGCACATAAATAAATACTTAAAAATATAAGTAATTAAAAAATAAAGTTGAAGATTATAAAGGACAGAAAAATTAATAAGGTAAATATTACAAAGGCAAATAAATAAAGAAGCTAATTAAGAGTTATATACATTTATGTCTCACTTTTTTGTTGGCAATTAATTGTATGCTTATACATTTATTTAGCATTTATTTATTTCTGTATTTATTTTTAAATATGGCAGAGTTAGTCCTTCATAGCTGTAAGTTTCAGAAATTCTGTGTAAATAAAGGCTTCAGTGCACATACAGTATACATTCACTGCATCCAGTATTTTCCATTTCTTTCTATAAATTATGATCGCAATTTTAAGGGTGAGATATGGGGTTCTATTGTAGAGAATTGTGGCTTTATTTACCAAGTGAATTGAACTAGTTCATTTATAGGTTATATGAACTTACTTAATTTTTTGAATAAGTGAAATATGAACGCGAGCTGGTTTATTTCCATTGGTGTGAACTGAATTTTGAGATCATTCTTTTTAACTATGAACTGGCAAAATGTTGGGTCTATGGATTTATTCTAATTCAAACAGAAAACTCGCACAAAGAGAAAAGACAATTAGAAGAAATGTATTGATACAATTACTTGGTCTTTGGTGCTCAGACCTCGGCAGAAAACGTAGTGCTGATTTATGATGGATATGCATGAACAGGAGTAAAGAATAGGGCTGTTTCCCCCTCAGGCCTGAAACTTGTGGTGGAGTGGAGACAGATGAAGTTGGTCAGTCTGTAGACTGCTGGTTAGTGAGAAGCTATGCTGAGCTTTATGGGAAGATCCAGTGGACTGAGTGAGTCATACTATAGCTTCACTCAGGGACCTGGAAGATGGAAGTCCAGTTTGGATAACACAGGTTGACAGAACCTGTCCATAAGGAGCAAGCATGAAGCGACAGCGGTGAGGAAAAACTCCCCGTTGGGAAGAAACTTCTGGAAGAACCAGGCTCAACATGGTGGTCTTCTGCCAGACCGGTTGAAATGAGACGTGGAATGCAGTAAGAGTCTGGGAGGAATGAAACTGATAAGTTGATGGTGGAGGAGGGCATGGAGGTGGGTTGAATTGGGGTCATCTGAATGAAGTCACACAGCGTATCCACAGCCTGTGCACTAGGTAGTAGACAAGATGCGGATCAGAGGCCTTTTAAGATGAACTTTGAATGCTGATTGGCTTTTGTGGAGGTGTGGTTCAAAGCTGATTGGCTGTGTTGTAGGTGGATGTAGGCGAGCAATCAGTTTCTTCAGTTGAACTTCCGCCTAGGCTCCATTTAACGAAAAGCTAGATGAATAAAATGAAGTATTCCATAAGTCATTCAGATGTTTGTGTGTCTCCATACACTCCTACCTTTCTACTCTTTGCAGGGGTTTGTGCCACCTGCTGCCACTGCACTTTAATCAGCTACTCCACCCCTCACTGAGCTCCCAGCTGCTCTGTGGACAGCCTGTCCTTGCGTTGCTCTGTCACACACACATATTCGCACAGGCATGCAGACCCACACATTCCCTGATACACCTAAATCACTGCACCATCATTTTCTGACAGCCACACTCTCACATCTCACAGTTGAGTGGAAAGATGAGCTGCCTACTTCTCACGGGGCACAAGGTGAAAACACACACATTCATGCGGAAATAATCGCACACACAGCTGAGCCTCTACACCACAAAAAGTCTCTGTCACACACGGATGACTCCCAGCATATGGATATTCCCTCTTCATTTTCAATCAGGAAGCCTGATCCAAAACTTGTGGACCTTCCAGCACACAATTCGCTTCTCTGAGGTTGGATCCAAGGTTCCAAATACAGACTGGAAACACACATAGCAGAAAGCAGCAGGCATTTCTCCCCACACATCTGATGCTCAGTGAGCTACAGATGTTAGCCTCAGCATATGCTTGTCATTGTTTCCTCTCATGCTACAATCACACAGCATGCAAATGCAGCTGCTTTCCAACAAGGTCTCTGCACTTTGACCTAACCTGACAGGGCCTTACCAATCTCGCAGTTCTCTCCAGTGTAGCCCTGAGGACAGTAGCAGCTATAGCTGTCACCTTCCTGCAGGCAGCTCCCGCCATGGAGACAAGGGCTGGTCTGGCATGGGTTACTATCCACTGTAAAGAGAAAAACAAGAATATTTAACAACAATTTCCATTTATATAAAAAAATAAAATTACAATTGTAAAGGTTTTGACAAGATTATGAGCTGCAACAAGTCTTCCCTTCATGCTGACAGACCATCTATGCTGTCTATTACAGATGGAGCAGCAGAGTTGACTTGACTCTGAGGTTTTCCACAAGGCAATGCAGTGTGTTTTATAGAGTTCCCTGCCTTTTGTTGTTTTTCTCTCACCAAACGCAGCCAACGAGTTAAGGTCCAAATAAATCAATGAATCGTGCAGGACGGAGAATCTGTTTGTGATGCATGATACTCTATTGCTGCATGTGTACTAAAAAATATTTTAGGTTGCTCGCAATGACTCTGTGTTCCCTCAAAGAGAAATGTTTTGGCAGATAAATGGTGGAGATTGAAAGGATTAAGTTATAATTACTGCTCTTAGATTTTAGAAGGGGACCTGTGAGAAGGAGACTTCAACAAGGACAGTTAGAGCACAGAGCGATTAGCACAGAGTATCCTTCAATTCAGCGAGTAAAGAGAAAGACTGTTGGGAAATAGTTAGATTAAGTGTCCTTTTATTATCCATTCCTGATAGAATTGCAGGGCCCTGACACAATCTGTCAGGCCATCTAATACGCTGTGTTCTTCTCCATAATAACACCCAGACTCCCTTAATGATGTATGAGCAGGGGGATGCTGAGCAAAGCACAGACTGCATTTCACCTGAAAGCCTGGAAATATCCTCAGTTGGGTGGAGGTTTACTTATTCACCTACATCTGTGAAAGGATGTCTATATCCATACACATTTCCAACCGTAATATATGGCATACTAGAGCGATATCTATCATCTTTAAACCAAGAAATAAACCAATGTAAATTAAACTGAATGTATCCATCTGAAAAGCCTCCTGTCGAATGTGTTTGCAAATAGAGGGACATTCATTACGATTCTTTGAGCTTATTTGGTAAATAAAGCCACATGCCTCCCATGTCAAACTTTTTGCCAATCACTGAGGAAATTGAGGCTATTCCAGCTAAAACTAGAGCAGCCACCTTTGTTTTGCTTCAGCTTTTCACCTATAGTTGACGTGTTGACGTCGTACACGTCGCTGCCTTTCATTGGTCTAAAATATATTTCTGTATCGAGGCTCACGCATCTGTTGGCTCCTGCGATGATGCATATTCAGGAGTTTGTGAATTCCTAAATCTCAAGACAATTCATCCTGCTTACAAGGTAAGCTGTTCCTGTGATTAGGGCTATTGTTACCTGGCTCATCAGCTTGTAATTCGGCCTTTTCTTGGTAGGTTTGATGTTGCATTACTCAATTGATTAATTTGGCTTCTAGATACAGAAGTGTTATTAGATAAAAACTATGATGGCTGGAATCTGCCACCTCTGTCTATTACACAGCCATCCCTGGATTTAGAGTCTTTTGCTGCATGTCTCTCTCTCTCTCTCTCTCTCTCTCTCTCTCTCTCTCTCTCTCTCTCTCTCTAAGACAACAAGTTTAACAGAAAAATGAAATGTGTGTCAATCTTTCAAAGTAAAAAATGAGGTATCAATTGTAAAGATGTCATTACTTGAATATATAACAGGTGAGCCTAATTACTGCATACTAGGCAACACTTAAGGGAGATTAGGGAGCTGAGGCAGTGAGGGAAAGTAATGAATTATATCAGAAACTGGGAAAACAAGCTTTTTAAAAAATTTTGAAATTTACATTTTACATTAAGCAGAACATAAATGAAAAAAAAAATATATATATATATAACAACTGAAAATATTCACAAAAGGAAACAACAAAGGTCACCATCATTAAATGGCTTCAGAAAAAGCAATACATTCGTACGTTCGCAAGATTTTACAAGAGGAAGACTTTCTTTTTGTAAACATTTAGTAGAGTTACTGAAGCTCCAATCTGTATTTATCCCAGCATTTAAGTTTGAACATTAGAAGAAGATTAGCTTGAACTTAATGCATCTTGCCTCTTTACCCCAGGATTACACATAGCTCTCCTTTATCAGTCCGGCTCCAAGATGTGCCCATATGTATTCTTAAAGACACGAAGGCCGTCCTGCTTACATTGCCTCCAACACACAGTGACATCATCCATGTGAAGGAAGGCTTTCTACTCTGTCTAATCTGGCTAACAAAATAACAATGCACATTATGTATAAAGAATAAACCTAACAACATGCATGTTTTTTTCCCCAATTTTGCACTTTATTATTTTTTTTAATCGTACAAAAAAATTATTAAGTCAATCTCCTTCCAACAGTAACAAGACATTTATAGTTAATTGTTTTATAAAATACACATGGAAAAAAAAATACTTTAGCACAGCAATGAAAAAAACGCTTCAAAAAGCAAAAGCTTGCAGATGATTTTGTCAGTAGTCAGCAGGGCAGTGGCCATTTATCTGGCATGTGTGCATCTGGTCAAGCTGCCCTTCTATAAAGTCTCAGACTGCAGGAATGAGACCAGTTAGACAGACACGTACCACCAAAGAAAAACTGTGGTGGTAAACACAGTAGAGCTGACAGCAGAGGACTAGTTCATCAAGCTGTCAGAGGAAGCGAGCTCTGAGGGGCCACAGGGGTGAGCTCCTCATGGCCGCTTCTACTATATATCAATCCATAGAGTGATAAATTAGCCCAGGTTCTTGCTCCAATCTGCATTAATTAGACACACAGCATTTTCTTTAACTGCTGAGAAAAATCTGTCATTCAGAAGCTGTTTGTCATTTGAGACCATTTTGATGGCTTGTGTTTATTCCACTGTGACGGAACATGTGCTTATCCCTTAAAATGACTCTGAAAGCGTCCTTCGATTGGTCCAATTTCCTCCTCAAAAGAAACCATTTCTCAGCCTAATTAAATTGGTCCCAGCAAAATTGCCTTAATAATGACTTAAGAAGGACTTGTCCTCTAGCTGCTATCTGCACAGAGTGAAATATGGCTGTCGTGCTGTCTGTGGCGGCACAGTGAGCCGAGCTGCAACAGAACAGGACATTGATCCAATCTGCAGACAATTAGTAACGACTTATTACACCCAAATGGGGCCGTGTTCTTCACCATCTGTCCACAAAAAACAGCCGGCAGGCCTGGCGCTAAAATTCCAGGTATTGATTGTGTGACAAAACCAACATCAGATCCATAAAGAAAACATTCAGGTTGAATGTATAAACATTTACGACTGGTTTTGTCTTCAAATATTCATACCAGTACAGTTTTTCTTGCCTCTAAGGCCTTTTTTTCAGTTTTCTGAGGAATCATTTTAAACTTTCATATGCAAGACAAAAAATAAATTAAAATAGCATGGAAGAAGATAATTTTGTTATGAAGATGCCCTGGTACATAAGAAAAAATAAAACAAAATGAGAGGATTATAATTTAGTACAGAGAAGAGGGTGAGAAAAACTGGAGGAAAAAGCCTTTTTACATGCTGGCTGCAGCTTATGATTAATTACATAGCAGTCTCAAAATAGGTTACTTCCTCAATCCATACTTTGCAGCTGTCTTCTGCCACACATAAAGAAAACCAGAGAAGAGGGGAGGGAGTCCAAAAAAAGACAGAGATGGTGAAATAGACCGATGATGTGTAGAGACAGTAAAAGATACATTCAGTAAACCGTTCAGTTTCAGATTAGTGAGCTAAGATCTAAGGTGTTACACAAAATCTAAGTTATCTGACGTGATGGAGAGCTTTAGGAACTATATTATGTGACATTATTCCCTTTGAACATCTCAATAACAGGGACTTAGTGGTCTCAGGTCGGACCAATGTTTTTAAAATCTCTACAGATCTCAACATTGCTGTGGTTTAGGTTCCTTCTTCATTTTGAGTAATGTAGTGATGCCCTTCCCACACCTTTGCTACCCATTCCTGGCCAGCTGACTGAAAGATGGCTCCCAACATTTATATCAAGCTTTAAAAAATACCAAGCTCTGTCATTTGTAGAAAATATGAACATTAAAAGGAGCAAAAACCATCACTTTTCATAAGATGACCTGACTTGTAAAATAGAGCGAAAGGTTGGATGTCAGGTTACAGTCATTAAAACATGACATGGGTTTCTTATTATAATATTTAACCACTAAGCATAGATCTCTTATTGATTGTACAGCATATTAAGACAAGAACTTATGAAGCTGTTTAACAAAATTCTTTGACCTGATAGAAATCATGTTTTTGACAAACTTTGCTACTCTTGTTATGGCAACAATTTACTAATCTATTTTTATTTCATAGCAATTATTAAACAAAATTAGATTATTAACAATTTTTTATTAAACTTGATTAATTTCACAATGGAGAAAGTAACCGATCCCCCTAACCTATCCCATTGGGGAGCAGTGGGCTGCCACTGCGTGGCAAGCATTCCCTAAGGAATTGATTGACTTGCCACCAGTGCAGAGCCTGCTCAGGGAACAGAACTGGCAGTATGGGGGCCTTTGGTCTGTTATGGAATAGGGCAACAAAAAGAAAGCTTCCACTCTCCAAGAAAAGCATGAAGTACTGGAGCAATTTAATAAGATCCTGAAGCAATGAACTGGATTATTCATTCTGCAAAGGGCTAGGGTAAAGGTATGGTTTTAGGTGAAGCTCAAATCTTGAACAATACTAGATGGTCTCAGTCAGCTATTAGGAGCTTTATACAGAGGCAATTTGGGAGAGATCACTACTTTAAATCATGATGTCACATCGGATATCAAAGTCTCAGGAATTATACCAAGACAGGATCCCATTCAAGGAGATTTGACATAAACATGTGACATATACTAATAAAACCCTTTCAAATCAAAACATTGATTACTAAACTTCAGTATGATAAAACATCTGACATAAACATCTAAGCTCTGTGAAGCTGAAGTCAATTTCAAACCCTGGCTTCATGTCTGTAGATCAAACAAGGTTACAGAAAACAGGCAAAGGTAATGTTGTACATTCTAAGAATTCTCAATCTGTGTGGTTTACAAAAAATATTATTACT